GTTTTGCAATCTGTTCTATTCTGTACTTTTGTTCTTTACTATTCTGCTCTAATCTATTCTGTTGTTCTGCTCCGTTCTAATCTATTCCACTTTATTCTGTAATCTGTTGTTCTGTATTTTGTTCTATTTTGTGATCTATTCTTGTTGTGGCCCGCCAGCAGCTAGTGGAGCTACCAGGAGATTCGGACAGGGAGGAGGTTGGGGAGGAACCTGGGCCAGTCCTGGAGTCTGGGGAAGGAGGGCTCTGTGTCGGAGGCAGAGAGGGGGCCAGGGCCGTCCGACAGTTATCAGCTGCCTTCAGAATCAGACATCAGTGGGGCAGAAGAACAGCTGGAGCCTGTTCCCAGTGTGTGCATGCGCAGAGCTGCCAGACGAAGGGAACAGCTAAAGAACAGGGGTCGACTTGGGAGTGAGGCCACAGGTGGACAGTGAATGGCCCCTCCCAGAGGGAATAAAAGAGGGGCGAAAAAGGAGTGGAGTTTGCAGGAGACCATTAGTTCACTTCATTGGTTCATGACTCTCCGAGACTCCTTGCCAGGTTCTACAGATCTCAACCTGGCAGCTCTCCAAGCCAGATAAGGTCTGTGACCGTAAATCCTCCCTCGAAAGACTTTGCTGGATGTGAATGGGAAGAATTCACAGTCAATCAATAAAAGGGTTTTTCATTGGGACCAGGAGTTTGCTTTGTGCTCTCGGGAAGCCTAGGCTAGAGCAGATGATGGGAGGAAGTCAAGACTGGTGGGATCCCCATCCCCGCCCTCCCTGCAGGTGGGGGGACGGGGGACATCCCATCTACAGCCCATTCGCCCCTCCCGATGGCTGTTCGCAGTAGACAAGCAAATGTGACTTTTAATTCCCAAGGAAACGCCTTCCTTTTCTTGTTCTGCCACCCATCTGGATATCCTGGTAGGACATGAGATGGCCCAAGTACTCACTGTGGGCACTTTCCACCGTCCAGATGGAGCTGAATCTTCAGATGAGCAAGGAACAAGGCAGCCTCCCTCGGGGACAACTCGCCAAAGGCAACTCACCGCGTCCCACTCACTGTGGGGCAATTTTAACCATTCACGTTAATCGTTTAAAATAAGTACAAACAATATTTCGATTTTTGTCCTTCACATTTCATTGTTGCCCCTGGTTTTGCATCCATCCATCCATCCTGCAGCAAATTGTCCCATGGTGGCTTGTCACGGACCCTCCCTTTCTCCATGTAGGATCCCCAATTCCTGCTTAGGGAGAAGGGTGTAGGATAGAGATGGAAACCCCGCCTGGAGGTTCCTCTCTGTCCTCCGGGCCACTCAAGTGATGGAAATGGGTGCGGAGTCTTCTTGGAACTGCCCAAAGGACTGTGTTGTAAACTGGAGAGAGATGCTGTCGTTCCCACCGCCCTCTGTTGAGAGAGGGGCTGTTCAATTGGGACCTAGATGGCCTCCTTGACCCCTCTTCCAAACCAGCCGTCCCCTCTGCCCAAAATGTGGACTTTGCT